AAGAAAGAAGAAAACAAAGAAACAGTGTAGAGAATGGGGAGGAAGGGGCACAGAAAGTGAACGAATGGAAAGCGAAAGGAGTGAACAAAACAAAGCAGACAAATCATCCATCATTCTTTGCCGGTCATGCATGCCCAGTCATCTTACGCCTTTCCCATTCGCTCCTCTCTCCCCTCAGCCTTGCTCCCCATGGGCCGGGACGGGTTCAGACTTTCAGACACCACTCCACCGCGGAGCGGTCAGCCGGTAGCCGGGGAGGGTCGGCGGCCGGGAGGACGGGGTCACAGGTCGAGAACGGGCCGTAACACCCTAACGGTGAGAGGATCACGCGTCACGACAGGGCCGTGACGCGGCCAGCTACCGTGACGCGGTGGCGGCGCGCGGGGCGCGTGCTCGTCCGCGCGCCGCCGGCCATGCGCGGGAGATCCGCTGGGCACCCCCGGTCACCTCCTCAGAGCGGACAAGCAGGAAGTGCCGCGAGAGGGGTGGCCGCGACATGGGGATAAGTAAGAAGATTGTTCGCCGTTTTTTTTGTAATTTATTTAAGGCTCATTTGCTCCTAAGCAATCTGACTGAGCATAGATGACAATGTGACATCTCATTTAACTAAAACAATAAATATTCCTAATCGTCCAATCCCAGTGATATATTTAGGGATAACGAATAAAACATTGCCACTATATACAGGGTGACACAAAAAAAAAACGGTCATCACCAAATTTCGAATAACTTCGGAAGTTTTATTCAGATCATCACCAAACTTCGGCCACTTAAGGTCACACCTATGTAGCATACATCCACCAAGTTTCAAGTCTTCACTACGAACACTTTTAGTACAGTGTGTGTTTTACTGACGCTCCACAATGTGCTCCAGGTGAGCGCCACGGCGCTGCAGGGCGTAGGCACACTTGCATCCGGCGGGCAAAGTTGTCGATAACCCGATGGCTGTGCTCTTTACAGAGTGCAATGGCCTCTGGAGACAGTGCTCAGGGGGTGTGCTACCCCTGAAACGTTATTCTTATCGGGTTATCGGCAACTTTGCCCGCCGGATGCAGGTGTGCCTACGCCCTGCAGCGCCGGTGCGCTCACCTGGAGCACATTGTGGAGCGTCCGTAAAACACACGATGTACTAAAAGTATTCGTAGTGAAGACTTGAAACTTGGTGGATGTCTGCTACATAGGTGTGACCTAAAGTGGCCGAAGTTTGGTGATGATCTGAATAAAACTTCCGAAGTTATTCGAATTTTGGTGACGACCGCTTTTTTTGTGTCACCCTGTAGTTGATCATCAAGTTTATCACATTGCGGACGAAACTAGAAGAAAAAAAGTCGAAGGAGTATTTCAAATTGTTTAGCAAATTTATAGGTAACCAGCCGGTTTTTTATCTGTGAGCGTTAATGAAATTACATACTAGAGGCTTTAAATAACTTCATGCAAGTAAAAAGAAAAATAAATTAATATAAACAAAGTCTTCTGATTGTTCTCTATCTCAATCTGAAAAGAATGCCTTGCGAAATACAAGTTACGCAAATTCGTGCCAGTAAAACCAGCCAGTGAAAATGTATCATCCAGACGAGGAAATGTCCCCACCTTTATATGTTCTTTCCGATTCAGGTGTAACTATGGAGTTCAGTGGGTGTAACACATTCTAAGCTATAATAAAACACTATTCATCCACCGCATTCAGTAGCATGACAGACATGCACACCACCAGAACACACGATGCAGGACAGACACAAAGACAAAGTCGTGCGCAAGAGCATGCAGCCGGTCCGAAGAGAAGACTTGCATGCTTGTATGCCAGGAAAGAGTACCTCGCTGTTCCATCTGAAACCGACCTGGACGGACCACGAAAAATGCTATGCTATGCTTTGCTATGCTATGCTATGCTAAGCCACTGACAATGACCGGACAACAGACAGACAGACAGACAAAGCGACAAAAGCCGAGCGAGACAGGCAAGAGAGGCGAGCGCGAGCTCCTCGAACCTACTGCGATGACCGGTAGATGTCAGGTACGTCGCTACAGGTCGCTAGTCTCTCGGCGAATCGCCTCGAAAGAGTTGGACGGCTGCGACCCAGGCTAGAGTTAGACAGAGGTCACAGCTGAGTTTTCGGCTGAGTTAGACAGAGTTCACACACCGCCGACTTACGGGATAGACCGGCAGATGGGAAGGAGACATCGATAGAAGGAAGACACTACGGTCACCCATCCGTGCTTCTATCCTCAGGATACTGAAATCCTTCTCCTCCACGCCGCAACCCCCACTCCGGGCTGGACAGGCAACTTTATCTCATGCGGGCTGCTCCCTTGGAGCGGCACCGCTGCTCCCGAGGGAGCGCACCCCGTAGCCGGGTGCAGTGAGTGCCTTGGGGCTGGGTGGCCTGTCCTCTGGACGGGCTCAGCCCCGGCGACTCACTAGGGTGCCTGCCCAGACCAATGTCTCCCCCTAATTCCTATCATCCTTCCGGCTCTGCAATGGTCTTGTCGACCGAAAGGGCCTAACCCAACAAAACAAACAAACAAACAAACAAACAAACGACACTACGGTACCCGGCACACACCAACAATGCGACAGTGGAACTGAACGTGCATGCAACACGGCAAACGTGATACCCAGTGCGGTGATCCGTCTAAAGAAATAAACTTAACAATATTTTCAATCAACGCCAGCAGCCAAAAAGGTCTGTTTGAGATGTTATTTCCTTTGGCTGCAATTTGTAGATTCAGCTTAAAATTAGGTGCACTCGGGCTGAATGTTATTGCTTCGAGAAATAAACACATTTAGTAATTTTTAACCTCTTACATCCTTCCTGTCAAGAACAAAAGAGCAGGGCAGGAGCAATAACTCGAATCAGGTAAATGTGCTTCACCTCTACGATATTGCTTAGCTTTATCTCAAGACCGATTTACTAATAGCTGACTGCAAAAGCCGCTTTGGTATTTGCCAAAGACCTTTTACTCATTATGATATAGAGTAGCCTTTGCGCATAATAGTCATAGGTATGCAGCAATTTTCACTTCGTATCCTCTTATTTCGATCATAGATCGAAATGATCATAGACTTCCATTAGGGTGGCACTTAATTTAGACTTTTTTAATTTCGACCGGGACGGGTAGCCATATTGTTCTACCTCACGAAAAAATGATCTGTATGAAATTTTATCAAAAAATATTTATGTTTAGAGGTAGCTCAATGGGGTCATACTTGGTACATATTGACAAAACTTATATTGTGAACGGGGATTAAGATGTGTGTCGCGCCTTTCCAAGCATTGTCATATTTGAACTGTAATACGTTTAGATGAATGATAGATGCCTTCCTATTTGTTTCATAACCACAGTGTTTCTCGCCGCAAACGCGCTGTGACGCAATGCGTGATTCAACCAATGGCCGTTCAGCGTAGTTTAGCTTATTTTGTTCGGTGACGGTAGCCCGCTGCCAGGCGTGCAACTTCAGCTCTTCTCTCGTATTACGATGGTTGGGAAGGGTCACGAGACTGCTAGCACTTACCGGGGTTACATGAACAAATAAATGCGTATCAGGAATGGTTTTTCTTCGCTGAATATTGTGATCCGTTTGTAATACGGCATTTACTCTGCTCATGTATCCCCGGTCACTGATGCGCAGGGGGACACTGCCAGTGTACGGGCACAGGGCAGGTCTCCGTGTCTTCGTGATGTCAGGGAGAAGACGTGCACGTGAAAAATATAAGTTGTGTTTTGCTTAGCCATTTCAGAACATTTTTCGCTAGCCAGGCTCAAATTGACAGGCCGCAGCAAACGCTGTTCTAGAATTTCTCGATGAGTGAGAGTTGAAGGGTTGAGTGAAAGCGCTCAGTTTTGACACAAGTGCATCGAACACCGGCCTCAATGCAGGAGCCTGCACGATCATCGAGCAGCGGCTCGAGCAGGACTTGCTCCACCTGACTTGCCACGACATTTACGAGTTTGTTCTATAAAGACATTTTCAGCCTGCCTCGGCCGGTCCAGCGGCCCGGACGTTGTTTTGTTTAACCCGCGCCCCGTAGGGGGGGGGGCCGAAACGGCCCCCCCCCTGTCCTTTTCGGTCGATATCTCCTAAACGGCTGGAGATATCGCCACCAAACTTTCAGGACCTCTCCGGGCATCAATTTTACACATTGTGACCAAAAATTTTTCCAGAGGCTGTGATAGGTTGGCCACAAATGACGTCAGAGTGACGTCATGTTCTGTCATTTTCGACCGAAAAAAGACCTTCGCGAGAAGACCTGTCAGGCCTACAGCTTTGAAGATACAGAAAAATGATCAAGACATAAAAGGTGTAGAATTGACAGGGCTACAAAACTGCTATCTCGGATTTTTGAAATTTTTGAGTTTTGATCCCCAAAAATCAAAAAAGCATTTTTTTGGATATATTAGCCAAAAAATCCAAAAAGTTTTTTGAGTTTCGAAAAAACCGGAATATATGTGATAGTACCTACCGTCTTCTATCCACATACCAAATTTCAGATCGATACCTCGTTTTTTGGCCAAGTTATAGCGAAAAAACTGTTCAAAAATGATGACGTCAAATTTTCAAACTCAATTTTTGGCAATTCTAGAACTCGTAGAGCAAAACAAAGACCACCATTAGACTCCCCGTGACGAGCTGCATCGAATGGATACCCATTTTATGCAAAAACATCAACTTTGAAATTTGACCTAATTTGACCTGACCTTGACCTGACCTTCACCAAAACGTGACCTAGGCTGGCCCCAAAGGCTGCCTAACCCACATAATCGCATTTGTCATGTAAAATGGACCATAAAACATGTATCACACGACACATTCATATTGTGACCCCCGGTGACCTGACCTCGCTGTGACCTGACCTGGTATCAGTGACCTCAGATAGCAAAGTATGTGTTTGACGAACAATATACCATCGATGGTTTTCAATAAATTACCAATTTACTCGATTTCACAGCACATTTCTTGAACTGCCTGTGAACGGTGAAAATCTGACCTTTGACCTGACCTGTGACGTCATCGGTTTGACCTAGGTCAATGAAATTTGGTCACAAGGTAGTTCCTGGGTAGGGCTATCAAACGCCGTTTGAATTTTGAAAATCGGCCGGTAACTTTCCGAGATCTTAGGGGGGGGGCCGAAACGGCCCCCCCCCCCCCTACGGGTGGTAGGGTCCGCCGGTAGCCCTACGGGGCGCGGGTTAAGCGCTTCCATAAAAAGTGGGCGTCTTGATGGAACGAAGCCATAAACCTTGAAAAAATGTGACATGTCCCACCTCCACAACCCGCGTGATGCTCTTGTACAGTTCGGTCATATATCCTTGACCGCCAGCACTCACGCGACAACCGTGAGATGCTGGAGCTGGCCATCACTGTCCTCGGTGGTGCTCCGAAACGAGGTATGAAGGTCGCTCGCCCCGATATGCTCCTTGACTGCTGGTTGACCAATGTCATTTACGCTATGAAGCTTTACCTCTCCCGAGCACAATCCCGGCTCACTACGACTAAGAAGAAGAGCCTCCAGCCGCCAGCGAATCGTGACCTTTGTGGTAACAGCGTAGTTTTCGGCTCGATTCAATGCACCGCTTCTGGCGTCTGCACCAGCGCAAGATCTCGACTTCCTCAAGTCCCTCCTGGAGTACGAATTGGACGAATTGGTGTTCGAATTGGTGTCCAAGGCGACAGCCATTGCCTTCAGCCGTCACCTCTGGTATCTAAATGAGAGGCTGGTCGTCCTCAACTTCTGCCACTAAACGTGAGATGGCTGCATCGTTACGAGAGAAGGAGAGGGCCCAGGACCCCTCCCCTCCCCCCCCCCCCGACGAGCCCACGTTGAATCTACTATAGCTTCAGTCTCTAGCAAGTCCACGGCAGACTTCGTCATATCACAACTGGCCTCACAAGCTTCTTCAGCATCTTCGGTATATGGACACCGACTTCCTCTTGAAGGATCCGATTCTTAGGAAGGTCAAGCCATTCTACAACGCCGCCATGCGCTACATGAGGTCTCTTCACGCCTCTACGACTTCGCGGAACGAGACATTTTGTTGATGGCCAGGAAATCGATCTGACCCCCACGAAGGATAAAGACCAACAGCAGCTCCTCTTGTAGGTCGTCGAGGAGCAAAGACGCAAGCATTCTGACAAACGCAAGGCGATCGTAACTTCTAAGTAGGCAAGACTAGCCGACGAATGATGTGTACAAGTGTTGGCTGATTACGGATGATACCGCTTTCTCCTTTCATGGAATTATGCAGTAAGTTATGCATACCTTCAAAAGAAGTATGTACCTCATATGTATCTATATATCTGAGCTTTAGGTGCTGAAACGTTTCGATTAAGTCTTGGCAACGTCCAACGTCATTGTGAACATCAGAAATACACGTGGAAATTAAAATTTCGGCAAAGTTGTGTTTTTCACAAAAATGCGAACTTTGACGTGGTTGAGCTACCCGTAAATAAACATATTTTCCAAAAATATTTTACACACAACGTTTTCTCGGGTGGTAGAACAGATTGACTGCCCGTCCCGTTCAAAATTCTCAAAACGAAATTTTAGCCCCGTTTTAGTGCCACCCTAACTTCCATCCAATATAACAAAACCAAGTCAAACACCACACACAAAGAATTCACCAGAAACACCACCAGCCACCCTCCCCCTGCCTCAGATCCGGCGCCCACCTTAAACGCCGGGTTCTCGTAGCTGGGCCCGTTCTTCCTCGCGGGCGTGATGGGCGCCTTGGCGTGGCTAGACTTTCTGACGAGGCACACGGCGCAGATGATGGCCAGCAGGATGGCCAGCGCGGCGATAATGGCTGCCACCACCATCCCGCTGTAGTAGCTGGCAGCGCCGGCCAACTGCGTCTGGTCCGGCTCTGTCGGGAGGGAAGGGCCGGGGGTGGTTAGGGTGGGGGGAGAGAGGTGGGAGGGTTATGAGAGGGCGGAGGGAGAGCTCAGACACGGGATGGGATTACTCTGCAAACTGAAGTTACGGATGAGTTAAAATATAATTACTCGATGTGATGTTTGTCGTAACCGCGGAAGTGCGGACCTGTCAGTCATCATTCACCTTTCATCAGTCATCATCAGCCAGGTGGATTTATTTATTTTACTTAATCTGATGTATCCGTTTATTTTTGGCATCGCGTTACGTCTCCTCTTTGTAGCACATGCAATGCTTAATTGTGATCAATTCACCTCGCAGTGAATGTTAGCATATAAACTCACCGTTTTCATCTCCCTTGATCTCCTCGGCCTTTCCGATCTCGCCTAGCTTTGTGACAAACTCCTGCACCTCCGAGACCCGCTTCTTGCCGTTCTTTAGGTATGCCTCCAGCCACACTTGGTACCTGCGACGGAGGGACGGTAAGAACAGGTGAAACATAGACAAAGAGTTACAATTCACCGGCTGACACCTATGTTTCGGGTAGTAACGCATAAATGTTCACAGGAAAAAGCGTGTCCGGTCTCACATTGCTGAAATGCAATTAACGCCGAATATCCTAAACAGCAATATAGCTTTCTGTGTCCAACCGTCTTTCGAGATACCCATGAATGCTGCTAGCTCGACACCTGCTCCGAAGCACACACCCATAGGTGAATCGAAGACAACTCACTTGCTGCTGGGTTTGAGTCCCTTGAGAAGCAGCGAGGGCTGGTCGGAGGTCTTGGCCAGCTTGAAGGTGTGCTTCTCCTCACGCTCCTTCTCGTAGATGTAGACGATGCGGTAGACGTTGACGTACTTGTACTGCGGGTCCGGGATGCCGGACCACTCGACTCGCACAGAGCTCGGCTTCACCTCGGCCAGTGTCAGAGTCAGGTTGAAGTCGTACGGGTCTGTCGGCACAGGGAGAGGGGAGGTCGGGTTAGCGACAGGGGGTCAGGAACTAGCCAGAGAGGGCTGATGATGAGCAGCTGGTCCAAATCGAGGCAGCTGAGTTACAGCGGTATATGTGGCATGGCAAACAAAACGGTTTCAAAATACCAAGCATTTTATCAAATAGGTAATTCATCTCAACGATACCCGTTCACCGTTTGGGCAATATGTGATAAGCATTGAAAGTTAATAAGCGTTTTGCTGGGACCAGCAATTGAAATGTGGTTGTCGTATAAGAAATTAACTATTTTTTTTGCTTCTACATAGTGTATAAGAATGCTATCTAGACGATTCTAGAACTCTCTTCAAGCAGCAATGCCAAGAGCCCGGCCACTGACCGACGACGGGCAGAGTGCGGATACGCAGCGGCCGCTCCGACACCAGCTCCGTGTTCTTGTCCTGGAAGGGCATCAGCACGATGTCGACCTCGTAGCCGGTGCCGGGCTTCAGCTCGGTCAGCTCGTACTGCGTCAGCTCCCGGTGGATGAACGGCGTCATCGTCCACACCTGAGGAAGACGGAGCGTCATGGTCCATACATTGGAGGATGGCAGGGGAGTTAATGGTTCACTCACACAGAGAATGGAGAGGACAGAAAGAAGTCATGGACAGAAAGGAGGACCGAAAGGACCCACACCTGGGGATGGTGGGTCATGGTTTCTGTCTCGAGAGACTGAAGAGATGTTCAAATTAGCGTTGCATATAGCGAGCAAGCAGAAACTTGACCCAGAGATTGATCTGAACATCGAATTCTGACCCCGTGAGTCCGTGACTGACCGGTAACCCTACATATAAAACACTAGCCCTTGGCACCGTGGCTGACCCACGCACCAGTCCCTGGAGTGTTCAGACATGTGAAATGGACCTTCACCTCCACCCTTGATCCGTTCACTGACCTGTGCGTCGACGTCGACATCCCTGTAGCGCAGCTGGATGCCGTCGATGTACTTGAGCTCTGTCTCGTTGAGCCGTCTCCAGCCGATTTTGGCCCAGGTGGTGTTTATGTCCGTGGCCACCAGAGCGGCGTCCAGCGCCACCTTGGGCGGCAGCGTGGTGCCCGCTGCGAGACGGCAGGGGAGAGCGTCAGTACGGGTCGGTGGATCATGTCCGGGGGAGAAAAGGAAGTTGTGGGGACGAAAAGGTGAAACGAAACGTAATATTGGCCTCTTAATTACGATAAAAACCGGTTGTAATGTTTGTTGACGTGTGGCCTTCAATAATGCAGACAACGACATATTTTTTTTTTTCGGCTGGAAACAGAACCTCTAAAACGATAGGTGCACGGGTCTTGCTATTTCAAAACGTTCTCTGGCAGCGTTCCGAAACCATACACACATATCCAGCACCAAATCTGTCCCACCTCTCCTCTCACTCCCACTCCAGTTGACCTCATTACTCACGTGAGGGCAGGGGTAGCGTGCGGACCTCGTGGAGACCTCCCTGCAGGTCGGTAGTGCCCTCGTCAAAGGTCACCCTGGCCTGGAGCAGGTACTCAGTATCGGGTGCCAGGTCTCCCAGGGTCCAGCTGTACTCGGAGGCGGTCAGACGGCCGCTGGGAGTGACGAACATGCGCCGGTCCCAGCTGGACAGGTTACCCTCGCTGAAAGAAAGGCGGACGACCGGTCAGCGGATGCGGGCGCGGGATGGGGGGGGGGGGGAGCGATTTACTCGTGACTCTTGACTCTTGACTTGACTCGTTATTTTAAATTAATTGATCAGTAAGGTAATGTTGGGGGCCTGAATTCAACTGAATCGACCCCCACCCCAAAATGATCAGCCATTCCGCACATAGCAACACTCCAGATTGTTCAAGGCGCCCCCCCCCCCCGCTAGCTCCCACCCACCCATTACCTGTCAAATAGGCCAGTGTTGTCCGTGTAGAGCACCTCTGCTTTTCCGGCCAGGCCGACGAACTGCGGCGGCAGCGTGAAGTTGATGTGGATGGAGCTGGGGTCGGCCGCATCCACCACCACATTCTCCAGCATCAGAACTGTAAGAGGGAGGAAGAGAGGTCAGGGTCGTTTTACCAAATTGACACACTCTTTACCAAATTGAATAAGCAGAGTGTGTGAAAAGACGAGGAAGCCTTGAACAAATGCCGCATCAAAAACATACCATATGTAATACAGAGACGTGCGTCAATTTCACCTCATATCGAAATACCCAAAAATGAAATAGCAAGTAAGCACATAATTACTCGAACACTGTTGTTTATTTCTTCCGCAACTGCTGTCTGCTGACCAACCGTTCGACTGTTGCCTCTGTGACTCACCAGTGGGCAGTGTGGGCTCCGGTTCCGCCGTGGTTGTGGTCGTTACCGGTGGTTCTGTAAACGCCACAGACACTGGTTATTCGTACGGAAAGCTCAATCTGAGACAGTCTCACGATGGCTGACAATGATTTTTCGGTGAAGGTGCTGGCATATTGAACGCTCAAAGACACATCACTTTACTTCAAAACCTGCATCTTAATGGGAGTGGGAGTGGGACGTTTTTTAATAGCGCATAAAAATGAAACAAATGCCAGACAAAAACCAAACATAACAGGCTATTCAACATCGAAAAAAGTTCAGTAAGGTTTATCAATAAGTAATGATTGATATACAGCGTTACTCGTTATTTCGACAATTCTTAATCTGGTTATATTTGCATTTTCATCGTTATCAGTTATCACTAAGGACAATTTGGCAGCATTTGGCTAAGTTTAAGATACTGTGAACCAACTATTTATTGCAGCTTTTGATCTGCGCAATTTGTAGCGGGATGCACCTCGCCAAAATCTCAGCCGCTGCGACAGCATGCTGCCGTCATGCACCTCTACAAGCAGAGCTCGATGCATGTCCAGATACGCTACAGCGCAGACCTGGCGTGGAGTGGCCACCGTCTATTCTACATCTCATCTGCAGGCAGGTCCCTGTCCGCCAGAGCTCTCTCAGAAAACCATAACCGTCCGTATAGCACTGTTTGCTTGGGCGCATCTCTGTCCTGACTCCTGTGTACCGACGCCTTCGAGGATATGGGAACACCGGCCACCGGCTCTCCTGAGCGCTGGAATGGGCAGTTCATACTGAGAATGTACAAAGTACAGACACCAAGTGTTTTAGCGTACCGTCACCAGGCAACAGCACCGTCACCGATCAGCTGGGCGGGGAGCGCCGGCGGCCCGAACACCGCGCGAAGGTATACTCGTAAGTGTTTAAGGAGCGGGGGTTAGTCGCACCGCGGGCGCCTCTCTGCGTTTAACGGATACCTACCTTTACGTCGACTGACGGGGAAGTTCGGAGAGGAGGATACCGAGGCCAGGAGCTCCTTAATGAGCGTTTCGTCGTCCAGGTCGGCACCGAAGGGCGGCCGCTCCGTCGTCCGGTCCGGGCTGGTGGGGAAGTGGATCGGTCGCGCCGGTCGCGTTGGACGGCTCGTGATCGGCGGTCGGGGTCGGAACGGCTGGTCGGGGAAGTGTATCGGTCCGGAGGGTCGCGCTGGCCTCGGCCGCTCTGTGGTCGGCTCCTCAGTCTGCGGTGCGTCTGTCTCCGGCTCAGTGGCGTCTGGAGGCGGGGTCGCAGCGGTGCTCCCGCCTGATTGTTTTGCTGTTTCATCATCCACAGGTTTAGGCTGCGACCCCAGAGGCCGCACGGTGACAGCGGCTATCAGAGGCGGTTCCTCGACCTCCGGACGCTCAGTAGTGGTCACTTGGCCGGCGTCCTGCTCAGGAGTCGAGCCGAGTACGCCCGTGTTGGGCGTGATCTCGCCGGCGGTGGCGGCGGTGGTGACGTCAGAGAGGATGCCCTCTGGCGACGTGGGCAGACGATGCGAACGGTCACCCACCGACCAGGAAGGATCGAAGGCATAGGTGAACACGCCCACCGGCGCACCGTCCGGGGTCTCTAGGTCAACCACAGTCACGTTACGGGGCGCATGCGCGTTAGGTCCGTCTGAAAGGAGACAGGGTGAGAGCGCAGTGAGACGTGCAGGCGAGCCAGTGGAGCGTGCGGTGAGTGACGTCAAAGCTCGGGTCAGGCAGGTCAAAACGAGCGTAACGAAGTCAGTTTAAGAACGGGTTCCGTGCAACGAAACGTCGAAATAATGGGAGTTTGTCGTGGTCGTTCCGTGGTGCTGACATGCAGAAAAATGCGTCGGTCAAATTTGGATAAACATCGAAAAAGAAAAAGTCCTCTCATTCATATTGTCCTGCACCGGACGCCCGTGCCCCGTAGCTCTGAATTCAATGAAAAAGACCTGTGGAGCCGTAAGATTAAACGAACTTGGCACATGCCACTGCAACGTGCAAACAGTACTTTAAAAAATCAAGTGACCGTACTCATGTAGGGCTCATGCGGTGCAACTGCTATAGGTGGGTGATAGAAGTTTCAGCATTCTCAATCATGCGGTGCAGTCGTCTACAGTCGTGATGCGTATGATCGAACTAGGATCGAATGGCACACGGAGCAAATCAGACCTTTTTGATCACCCATGCAAATGTCAATACATACAACGACCATTTATGGCCCAAATAACCTCTGCAATCTGCATATTTATAGGTGTTCCTTAAAAGTCACTTTTAGATGACATAGCACTCAAAGAAAACGTGTGACAACAGAAAGTACTCGCTCTAGCGTTACCACCATCCACCCAGACACGGACACCACACAGACCCGACCCAGCACTCCATGCACCCCGCCCCTTCGCCTTCTCCCCGGTACTCACCTATCTTTGCACACTGCCAGAACTGGCAGCAGCCGTTGGGTCCGGTGACCAGCTCCGTCTGCTCGGGCGGACAGGGCAGACCGGCGGGAGGCGCGTCGGGCACCGCCGGGCAGTCGGGCTGGCAGTTGACCTCTCCGAACTCGCAGTAGCAGCGCTGGTGGCAGCCAGTCAGGTTCTGAGGGATCTCGTACTGGTTTCGGAACTTCTGGCCCTGGTAGATGCAGTGGCCGTCGTCCTTGCAGACGGCCTCTCCGCAGCAGTCGGGCGGCTGGCGGCTGGGGTCGCGCGGCACCTCCCACTCCAGACAGTCGGGGTTGAGCAGATCCAGGCCGAACCTTACCGGGCAGCGGATCGGCGCGCACATCTTACCGGCCTGGCCGCAGATACAGAACTGGCGGCAGCCGTCGTGGAACTCGTCGCCGACCTTGTACAGCTTTCCGTCGTGGAGACAGCCTTCGGGGCGCAGCGTGGTCACTTCTGGAGCCGGTGTGGACTCCAGTGCCGCGGCCGCAGCCACCGGCACCGTCTCACCGAGAAAGTCTGAAACGGCCCGGAGAGCGGAGTTAGAGGCGTGGGGAGCGGGAGTCTGACGGGGCAGACAGACGGCTTGGCATTATTTTTTGATTGATGGGACTAGTGAGCCACCCAGAGGCTATGTTCAGAAAAAGTGATATTGGTATGGCACCGATATATTAGCACAAAGATGAGATACCGCTTTATTCAACCCTTTAGGTGCAAACCCAGCATTGTAAGCATATATTCAATTGATTAAGACCTTTGCAGATTTCAGTACAAAATCAAATATCCACACTTTACCAAACTTAAGAACAGGTGTTACCTGGGTTAGACAACTTGACAAGCGAGTTACGGAATAACGTTAATCAATGGAAATAAAGCCAAACAATAGTAGTGAAGCGTTGATTATGAACACACGGTTAAAACGTTACAGCGAACGCAGAATATTCACACACCATCGTTACTATAAAGCTAACAGTAGAAAATGTACACAGATGGTTGTTTTATAAACAGCGCCCACACCACCATAGCACCTCTGACGACTATAACAGCTCTGCGCCCATCGCTAGATATGTACACAGTGTTGGTCAGTACAGGAGCCAGACAATAGTCCCTCTCAAACCGTGTCCACGCCTGTTATCCCGATCTCGCGACTTCGCTAGTATGTCTGACACCGAGAGTTTCTGCAGCGAATCTATGTCCAAGCTCAACTATCTATTGAGATAATAGATATGTAACGTATGTGGTAAGCGCTGGTGGAGGTTCGATCGAAAAGAGTCTTCAACTGGGCCCTCAAAACGCATTGTTTTCCACTTTGAAAGGACGGCTTACCGAGATTACAGCCACAACAAATTAACGCGACAAATGTGAGGGGCTGGAAGATTGCGGATAGGCAAGGCGAATTAAAAACGCACTATGAATTATTAGGATGGAACATTAGAACGGGAGGTGTATTAACCCTCGCATGTGTGCGGCGTTTTCCAGCTTCTAATGTGTAGGGGGGGGGTCGGTTGGACCCCCCCCTTGCCGTTTGGCCCCTGATCGAGCTAGAGCTTCGCGGAAAAAACGAGCGTGTTGCCCGTGACGAGAGGAAGCCGATGATACCCAATTTTAAGGTCCTAGGTCATTGGTTGACCTTCCAGGTCAGGTCAATGACCCAAGGTCGGGAAAATCGGGACCTGTTAGAAAGTCGTAAAGTGTGGCTGCTAAGGGGTTTTCCGGGGTGCTGATCACGAATATCGTGTTAGTTTTGATCACAGATGATGTCTTTAAGCATTTAGACCAGGTCGGGTCAGGTCAGGTCAGGTCAACCAGTAGGCGTCGTGACGGGTATTAGTATTACGTGTCAACCGCCTCTGACAGCTTCGTAACATGTTACGAAGTCACCAAAACTACTTCGTAAATGTTCAAATGGTTGCTAAATTCGAATTCAGCTCCAAAAACTTGCCTAGAAACATGTAAAACTCGAAAAAGTGCACCGAGGTCACCAAAGGTCAATGACCTGACCTGACCTTCAGGTGACCTTGACACCCACCCTGATGCATGGGAGCAACATCAAATCACATGTTTGAACGTTTGAAACCACGAAAAGCTTGCAAACGCGCGGCTAATGCGAGCCGACATACGCGGAATCGCGATTCCGGCCAAACATGGTCTCGGAAAAGAGGTCACAGGTCAAAGGTCATTGGGGTCAGGGTCATGAAATTTTCAGGGTAGGTGTAAAATTGATCAATGCGAGGGTACTGAAAGTTTCGTCGCGATCGGCCGCTTTTTACGCGAGTTATTCGCGAAAAACCATGGGGGGGGTCCATCCGACCCCCCCCCTACACATGCGAGGGTTAAATTGTCTGAAAGAAAGAAGAAGCGTTATAAAGACGTCAAGCTAGCCATAGCCTACAGCCACCATCACCTTGTAGATTCAATCACCCGAATAATACGCATACCCACATCACGCTACCTTCACCAGTATATTATCGCCGCCACCGTTACCAGCTCCAAGTTCAGACTCCCACCAGCGGCTTCACCGAATACCGATAGCTGCTCTGCCCAGCTCCTCGCGTTAGCTCCTCGCGTTAGCTCCGCCGCCGCTGTTAGAACGCCCGCCGCCGGGCCGTTAGCTCCTGGAGGCCTGTCTCCGCGCCTCGCCACTCGCTGTGTTACCTGATCCTCGCTCCGTCGCTGATCGCTCCTCTTCCAGTCCCAGACCGGCGGCGAACAGCGCTGGGCTCAGACCGGTGAGCTGAATCTCAGGCTCCTGCTCCTCCGCCGAAATCCTCGCCTGCCCGCGCCGCGCCTCCACGCCCCCGAGAGGAGATGTGTCGCGCGCAGGCGCCTCCGAGGGCAGCGGCTGCACGTCGGCAGCCACCGTGGCCGAGGTCTGCACGGTCATCACGCGGATCAGAGTGGGGATCTTCTTCACAGCCACGATACCGACGGAGGGAGCCAGGCCGCCGGGCCGCGGCGCCTCCGTGGGCTCGGCAGGTCGCGGGGTGCTCGAGGGCTCCTCGCCGGGGATCGGGGCGAATGTGATGAGGCCCGTGATGCGCCGAGTGGTGGGCACCGTTCGCGGAGTGGTGCTGGTGACGGCGGCCCGGGTGGTGATGGTGCTGCTGACCGGCTGCACTGGTGAGTCTGTCGTTTGGTCGGTGATTTGATCGGTGGTGGTTTCCGATCCTGGAGGGCCGGAGGCTGCTCCATCTAGAGCTATCTCCTCAGGTGGCTCGGTAGAGTTCAACGTCAAAGCGTCACTCTCACTCAGCAACTCGTCTTTGAACTCCTCCCTAACAACATCCAGTCCTTCACTGCTGACTGACGACTCGGTCGAAACAGCCGGCGCCTCTGTCACAGCCTCCTCAGACCCTTCTGTCACGGGAGTCTCTATGGTCGTGCTTTCCACGGCACCCACGCTCTCAGACAAGCTCTCCACTTCCTCTCCCGCTTGGGACTTGGTCTCCTCACTCACTGTCGGCTCGGTCGGACCAATGGTCGCGCCGTCCATGGTCACAGTCGTGGTCTCCATGGATGAACCGGTCGCCAGCAGATCGTCATACGACTCAGTAGCGGTGACCTCTAGGGACTCGACCTCCCCACTCCTCTCCGTGGTCGGCTGAATCGTGGGAGCCTCGGACGCCGCTGGCTTTTCTGTAGCGATTTCATCCTCCATCGCCTCTACGATAGCGTTATTGAGGGCCTTCACCTCTTCCTCATCCAGTCCTCCGCTGAGGCCGGTGAGGTTGATCTCGATCACGTTGGAAATATCGGTAGTTGACGGAGTATCCTGTGCTGCCTCCGTGGTTTCTAGTGAGGAGGTGGTGGTTCGCTCTTCTGCGGAACCGGCTGCTGTAGGAGGTTTGGACGGCACCTGGGACACCAGTGTACTGGCGAAGGTGGAGGTCTCAGCAGGACCGGTGGTGACCCCATCCCGTGATGTCTCGGTCTGAGTCGGCTTTGACGTAGTTGCCTCCGTAGCTGAAGGTGGTGAATCAATTGTGTTTGTAGCAGAGTCAGCATCCTTCACAGCCTTCGTGTCGGTTTTCTCACTTGATTTCGCTTTAGCCGTTCCAGCGGCGGGTGCACTAGCCACGTTTATTTCGTTCAGTTCATCCTCATCGGTCACATCCGAGCTGGATGCTTCAGTCGTGCTAGTCTCAGACTGAGAGAGGTCCTCCTTCTCCCCAACCACCGCCTCAAAACTGGCCTTCTCCATCTCTGCCACCACAACCATCGGATCTTTCTCCGTCGTTTCTGTCGTCTCCTCTGTCGCCGTCGCCATTGTCGTCGTTTCTCCAGCGCCCGCCTCGCTCTCACCCTGGCTCTTCTGTTCCTCTCTCAACATGATAGGCGCTGCCAGATGCGTGATCTCCTCCTTTACTTCCTTCTGGCAGCTCTTCACCCAGCAGCAGGCGTCTTTCGTGTCCTGCACCAGAATACAGCCGGGGTCCTCGGGTATCGTCACCTCGGGGCAGCGCGGCAGACAGAACAGCTCACCACCCGGGAAGCAGACGCAGCGCTCCTCACAGCCGCGGAAGAACACCTCGCCGGCGGCGCGGGTGTCGTTCCCGTCGGCACACGAGTCCCCGACCGGCAGAGCCGGTGTGGAAGGCGCTGTGGTAGAGCTTGTTGGAGGCGACGTTGATGTAGTTGTAGAAAGTGTTGTTGAAGATGGAGACTCGTTTGTAGGAGTTGAAGTACTTGACGTAGAGGGAGAAGCCGTCGTCGAGGGTGCAGACTCCGAGGTGGACGCAGGTGCAGGCCGTGCGGGCAGTGCAGGCGGCGCGGGCGGTGCTGCAACATGAGAGAGGCATGCAGAGATGGGCCATGCCGCGACAGAGCCGCGCACACCAGTTCAGTGAGCACAGGGTCAGACAGTGGGTGGCCGGTCAGTCGTGCCGGGGCCGGTTAAAGGTCAGGGCGCGGGTCATGCTGCCGAGACTACCGTCCGTCCGCCATGCGATCAGAGCGGCACACAGAGAGAGGGGGTGAGTGGAGAGAGGGGTACCGCGGGGTCGTGCTGGAGCTGTTACGGAGGGGACGGGAGATACGCCGGCTACCGGGGCATAAAGATGTGGACAGTGACCAGGACATGCTGGCTCCGTGGATTGATATGTAAGCTTTAAGCAATGTTCGCCCACATGCTCGATTTCCTAATCGACCTACATATTATGATTTTGCAAATAAATATACTCGATTGTCGATGGGAACAACAACAACAACTTATTTCCCCGTAATTCACTGCATTTAGATTATGCGAGAAGCGAATAACGTCGAAAGATTTGGAAGCAAATACTGGCACTGCGTAAATGTTAGATAAACATCAAATTACTAAAACTGAACATCAAGATTAATTGATCAAGCACAACCGGTTGGAGTCACGAAAACTTCAGCTAGTCCACTCGGAACATTCAGTCTTGCATGCCCGTGCGATGGGTGAAGCCAAAGATGTACTGGGTGCCACCGTGCTTTCGGGTGCAGTTGGGTGCGGGCGGGTGCCATTAGGGGTCAGATTAGTTGGCCGTGACCTCGGTCAGGTCAGGGCAGTGCCGGCGGGCATTTACCGCAGCCGATTTCGTCGCTCTCATCGCGGCAGTCGAACAGGAAGTCACAGCGCTGCGAGGCGGGAATACAGGAGCCGTCTCGGCAGCGGAAACCCGGGTCAAACGAGCCGCACCGGCCTAGAGGGGGCGCACAGACGGTCAGGGAGGGACCAGAGACCCTAGTCAGCAGAACTGAGATGGCTGGGAGGATGGAATACAGCAAGAGCAATGGAAACTGGTGGGTGTAACGAATGACAGTTACTCTGGAATACGTTATCTCATGATTGGAAGTGTTATTAGCCCGCGCCCTGCTGGGGGGGGGGTGTTTGAACACCCCCCCTGTGGTTTTTCGCGGATATCTCAAAAACGGCGGCGCGGAGCGCCGCCGTTTTTGGTACACCTTATCATACATCAATTCTACACATGTTGTGAAAATTTCACACCAAGGTCATTCAAGGTCAGGTCACCAGGTCACTTGAAGTGACCTCACCTCATAAAAAGTTTCAATGTCTGCCATAGCTACACCGAGTGACCGATCGCTTTGAAACTTTCAGCGATTACTAAGAACAATAGCATGTACAAAATGTATATCTCAGAATTTTGATATCGATGACCTAAGGTCAGGTCAATTTTGCGACCTCCCCATTATAAGTCCATGGGAGAAAATTGAAATGCGCCTCTTTTGGACGAAAAGCATTATCAACACTCCCAAACACTGAATTACAAGTGGTTTAGACACACTGAACATGAAAATGGTGTCCGTGACCCCTGGTTATGCCCCTGAGGTCATCTTAGGTCACGAATGGTATCTAACAGTTTTTCGCAAATAACTTTTGATAGAGGCATGCTAGAGCGATGAAAACGCCTTAGATGTGTTCAGCTGGACGATACGGATCGACTGATATGCAACATGACCCTTTCCGGTCAGGTCATGACCTTGACCTGAGGTCAAATTTTCAAGTTGACCTTTCAAGGTCAAGTTATAGTTCATTCGATGCGTCTTGACGAGAGGAACACGATGCTGGTAAAAGTAAGCTCGTACAAGGTTTGGGTCAAAAGTTATTGCAGAAAAACTGTTTCCGAAAAAATCGGCTATTTTTGCAGTTTTTACCCCCTGCAGGCAAAACCGTTGACGCTAGGTCAAATCTGAGATATTTACTCAGAAAGAGCGTTAATAGGGCTATCGAATGCGCTTTTCCGCAGCGCTGTAGCTCTATTGGTTCCCGAGTTATGCGTTGGCTTCTTGGAAATTGTCGACATTCGACCTGGAAATCGGCGAAATTTTGCCTTCAATGACCTCTGGTGACCTGACCTTTGACCTGACCAAAAAAAATGACCGAAGTGATTTCGTCATTATTTTTTACGCTCTTTCGAACGCCGCCTTCCGCGTATCGCTACGTGGCCCAGGAGCCGAGTTAGAAGGGGGGTGTTTGAACACCCCCCCCAGCAGGGCGTGGAAATCCAGGACCCCCAGCAGGGCGCGGGTTAGAGGATGGAGCTCCTGCAACACGATAGACCGGAACCGGGACACGAGCAGCACAGAGGGCAGGCTCCACCAATAACAACTCTGTTCAGATGTGGGCTACATTTCGAATGTAATGTTCTGTCAATAGTACATGCCGGACAAAAGAGGACAGAAGACAAGGGACACAATAGGAGGGTCTCGACGAATAGAATAGAGACTAGAAGAAACAGTTCGAAATGTGATACTGCGTATGCCATTGCACCACTCACCCATAGCGAGGAAATGTCAAGACTCGACGGTTAACTACTTAATATTGAGCACCTCGAAAAAAAAAAACTGAATGAAATGGAAGGAGGCGTAAAACAACAAGAACGGTTGCTGCTAATTGTCATCCCCATCATATCGAGAGAACTAAGGTGGTGAATCCGTCAGGTGAGCTCAAATCAAATCGTGAGGCAGCGTTACTGGCTTCTCCGAACCTCTTACTCGACTACCTCCGTCTTCCCCAACATTCCCTTCCCCTCTCTCACACAGCAGTGTCCCAACCTACCTTCCGTGGTGGTCTCCGCCTCTATGGGCGGCGGAAGTGTGGCATCCGTCGGCACCACGTCCCCTCCGCGCACCACGGCACTCGTCTCGCCGGCGTAGCTGACGCGGACGCGCGCCTGCCGCGGCCTCTGCAGGCCCTCCACCTTCATCACCAGTGTGTCCAGGGACTCGACGGAGAACTCGTCGACCCCCACCTCGGCCGCCTGCCAGCGGCTCGAGTCGTCATACCGCCATTCCACAATGAGTGGCTGGGTGTTGGCGGAGAGGATACTGTCCAGCACTGCGTCGGAGATGAGCAGTTTCAGCTCCGAGCTGTCCGCTGTTAGAGGACGCAGCTCGGTGATCCTCAGAGGAGTGGCCTTCTCTCGGCGGCCGGCGCCGAGCCGCGGCTGCACTCCGGCCAGGATCTCGGCAGACTCAGTGGTGGTTTCGGAGGGTGTACAGACCGTGATGGTACAGCACGGGTCGGAAGGGTCCGGGCGGGTAGTACACGAGGCGCCCTCCAGCGGCTCCTGAGGCGCGCACCTGTCGGGAAAAGGGTTGGGGTTAGGCAAGATACCAGTGTCGCGTATGATGGACAAGCATTAATGGCAGTGAGGCAATGCCGGCGAATTACAGCGTTTGATCGTGGGCATGTGATGACTAGCAGAGGGCTTTGCCGTGTGCGCCAATAAAGGTCATACCACGAGTTACACCAGCCAGACGCTTTATCGAGATCGACATCACCCCGGCTCGTGGATAAGCCACGACACAAAACGTATAAAAACGAGCGAAATCAGACTGGCAGGCTGCACCATTTTCCGCACTGAAACAATGCCAGGAGATCCCGATGTACTGAGTCAGAACCGGTGGCGACATTACGCACCATTTCCTCCGACCCACGCAAAGTGTATAATCTGGAGCACTGCACTGAGCACTGAGCAAACTCCATGACGATTGGAGCACCCGTTCCTAAACAACTACGCCCTTCCACGTCATGACATGCAAACCAAACGTCCCGGATTCTAGATTAATCCATACCTGGACTTGCAGGAGAGCTCGCCACCCTCCTGACAAAGGCAGGTGTCGCAGCCGCGCTCAAATGTGCTGTTGACGGCGTACTGTTGCCCGTCGGCTTCACAGGCCAGCTCAGAAGAGGGCACCGTGGTGGCACCGATAGCTGATTCTGAAAACGATTCGTCGTGTCAGATTGACTAGAGTTGACCTGAGCTGTCAAGTTCACGCTAATTTGTATCTGGGAAAGCAGGGAATAATGTAACAATGGGCAATTGACGTGAGGTATAAATCTGAGGTATTTGGGCTATTCGGCAAGTGCCGTGTCATGAGGAAACACCACATCTTAACCCAAACGAGTCATGCGAGGTATTCGGAATATTTTGTAAAATCCATTTACGTGTAGTTAACTAAGTGGAGCGTGCAGACGCAAGAAGTAATTCAGGTTGAATTCCCTGAAGATGTCGGATGATCTATTGTAATGTAGAGCATCACAAGGATCAGAGCATATCTACACGAATGAGATGCAATGCAAGAATTAACAACAAGGTCGAAAAATTCCAGAGAAATGCGCTACAAAGCTGCATGATTTGGAGTTTCCGGAAAGTTCCACATCCGCTTAATTAAAATTACAACTAAAATCACAACTAGTACGTACTACAACGAATATACAGAGTTGTAACAAGGGTTGCTTTTATCTCAGTGGTGCCATTGGTGACGGTGGTGCCGGCCTGACTCACCAGTAGTGGTGTCCGTGTCACAGACGGTCTTCTTGCAGCAGCTGTCAGCAGGGTCGGTCATCACGCGGCAGCCGGCAGACAGACTCGCCTCGGGGTCCGGCTCGCTGGCACAACGCGCCTGCGGACGGACGGGGGAAATGTGTCGCAATTAGAAGCGTGAAGTGACATACGCACTACGCAGTGCACGTATGTACAATATTTGCATGTACAGTCTGTCTTAAAAGTTACGCGCAAAGTGACGGTGGATCCATCAAGCCTGACCGAGGAAGGGCCTGCTATAGTTTGAAAGTCACTGAACCAATTGACCTGGGGAATGGACGAGGATGTCAATTGCTTCGGTGACTCAAATTTAGCAGGCCCTTCCTCGGTCAGGCTGGATGGATCCACCGTCACTTTGCGCGGTACTTTTAAGACAGACTGTACAGGGTGATCGAAAAAAAGTGTCACCCCTAACTTAAAATCTACATAACTCGCGACTGGTAGGTCGGATGACTTCGCGCCAGGCAGCATCGGTAAGAGCAGGCAATTTCTTTTCAATTGAATGTATTCATGATTGTTTTCTATTCCAAATCATGTCCCCATGGGCACAAAAACCAGTCAATGTGCGGCTTTCACGTGAAACGAAATTCACCGAACCGGATCGGACACTGCTGAACGCAGTGGCGTACCCAGGAATTTGCAAAGGACCAGGGCATTGGACGAGAGGGCGCCAATCAAGGAGGGCGCCAACAACAAGGAGGGCGCCACATATCTGAAACTTGAATGTGTCAGTGACTCAGTTATGTTCGTACACGTGCGGAACGAACATAACTGACATTGTACATGCGTACACATTGATCAGCCTCAGGCAGCGGTACAGCGGTACCGCTGGTACGTCGGTACGTCTAGGAGGGCGCCACTATCACCAGAGGAGCGCCAATACTGGACAGAGGGGCTTCGCCATCAACTAGAAGCGCGCCGCTATCGACTGGAGGAGCGCCAACACTGGACAGAGGGGCGCCAGTCACTGAGGGCGCCGGGGACGATGAGCCAAAGGGACAGGGCATGCACGGAATGTCCTGTATGTGCGTACGCCACTGGCTGAACGAGAACAATGCGTATCGTAATTCAACATGACACACACCTTACACATTACACATGGAGTGTATGTTGTTCACTGCAGACTGTTTCTCAGCTGACCTTAGACTCGTTTCTCAGCTGACCTTAGACAAGGAAGACCTTATCAGATCTTCCTTGCAAACATGCGGCCTCATTATTCACAAATTCGGCGATAACTAGCGAAACATTGCGACAACCTGCACTACCGGATTATCAATTTTATGCAGCGGTAACCATGGAACAGTTAATAAAAATGCTCACGTGAGCTGTCACGTGAGCTGTCAGATCAAAAACTCTGTCAAAAGCAGGGCAAAAGTACAAATTTGCACAACCAAACTTTTGAACACGCCAAATTGCGTCCTTAACATACTTTTTGAATAGCTACATCTTCGTTTGCGGCATAAACCATGCATATTTACATCCATTCGAAAGGAAATTGTATGCTCTTTCCAATGCTGCCTGGCGCAAAGTCGTACGACCAACCAATCGCGAGTTATATGGCTTTTAAATTAGGGGTGACACTTTTTTTCGATCACCCTGTATATATGTCTAATATCAGTTTAGTTTAAAGACGTATCGGCAAGTGAGTTCCGAACACGCTCCGTCACTGGAAGACTGCCATTAGAGAGTTAATAAGATGGAAGCTACGGTGTGTGGTGTAAATGACACACATGCTCAAATGATGCGATACAAGATCGTAAGATAACCAACACACGCTGACATCTTGATGAATGGGGTGGCGTTTACAGCAGCAATACTCCAAACGGATCTTCACACATCATCACCCGGCGTCATCCATGATCACACACCGTCACACGGCGTCACAGAGCGTGACACGAGCGGGCGGTCCGCGGTCACGGCTCATTCCCCTCGGGAAAGACACCGTGTCGGGACCGGTTCGGCTGGTCCCGACTCCCGTACCTCCCCCCCCCCCCGCCCTCCTGGGGAGCCGGACCGACCCAGTGCCAGCAGGGAGCAGCGGCAGAGCATCACGACCGCGACCGGTGACGTCACATTACCCGTGATGACGTCACGCACGGTTGGCATAACGTGAGGTCAGTGACCGGGGACGGGCGGGCTGGGAGGGTTAATCCTTCGTCACCAGTTCGACCCAGAGATAAGCCGGTGACAAGCTCACGTTTACAGCAAGGATGGACGGAGCGGCGTGATGTTACTTTGACCAGAGTGTAAGACGTCTAAACTTGACAGTTTTGTCAACAAATGAAATTTTAGATGGCATCATCAAGGTCGGCACTCGGTATCTTTTAGACTAAGTCGCAAATCGTAACGAGAGTGAAGATATCGTCATTCCCTAGAAAACACAGTGACATCATGCTGACAGCAAGAATGGTTATCTCGCTGTAAAAAAAAACAGCTAGGAATATCCACGATCATCACCAAGATCATCACCTTATATCTAATAATAAATACAAATCTAGCTTCATTCATTTTCAGAGTGACTGCAGCCTGCAGGATTTTACCACCAAACCCCGAACCGAGATTGATTCAGCTTGCACAATTTCGAGGGCAGCTACTTAGTTACATCAGCTAGGAATAAACTGATTGCCACTAACACAGTAATAGTGTGACAGGTACTTTGTGACATCACATCTATCCATGTTTCCTCACCTTGCACTCGACCTCCTCGTCGCTGTTGCACATGCAGCGGAACTCGCAGCCGTCGAAAAACTCGTCCCCGGGTCGGTACGTGGCGTTACCGTACGTACAACCCGTCTGCGGCACCGCCGCCGGCGTCGTCTTTGTCTCTGTAACGGAGCGGGACGTAGGTGAAATGTAAGACGGGGATGTCAGCATGATGTTACCAAAAGCACGAGAGATGCTGCTGATATAGATCGACGGTCCTGTAAAAAACAGGTGCGCTGATTTTCCTTCTTCAAGATGTGTCAAGATGACGAACGTGTCTTATAGATACACTTTTTTGTTCAAATTGAGCGGCAAAACCACAGACATGCCTGCATCAATGCATCAAGCCCCAATCTACAGACAGTTAAGTACTCAAGCTCCTCCTAACCGCGAATCTCTCCATTCCATTCCCGTCGGTGTCAGACTGTTCCGCTCCACTAAAGAAGCTCACCGGGTCTGCACGCCTTGAATCCGGCCCTCTTCTCCTCTCTGAAGCCGGGCGGACACACGCACATGGCCACAGCGGTGACGTCACCGGCCTTGACGTCACTGGCCTCCTTCGTCATCACCTCGCACACGTAGTTTTCGTCGCAGAGCACCGAGTCACACGGGTCCGAGCCGTCAGCTGGCGGAGCGCAGAGCAGAGGTCAGGTAGGGGTAAGGTAACAGGGGCGGTGTGTGGGGGTGGGACAGGGTGGTGTATGGGTGGGACAGGGTGGTGTAGGGGTGGGACAGGGTAGTGTAGGGGTGGGACAGGGTGTTGAAGGAGTGGGACAGGGGCGGTTTCGGAGCTGGATTGAGGTGGGTTGGAGAGATGAGGGTGGTGTGTGGGTGTAGTGGAACAGGACGATATGGGAGTACTATCTGGGTGATACGGTGATAGATAAGGGTTGTGGAGGTAGGACAGGACGGCTTAGAGTGACAGACAAGGGTTGACGAGCAGACAGAGAGCATCAAACAGGATCATAGCGGGTATACTTTGGTCAGGGCCCACCACAGGCAAGGCGAACCAAACAAGGACAAAGGACAAGTACTTGAAGTGAGTCACAGGAAAACAACACGAGATTAAAAAGCGAAAACAAAAGCATGGTTTACTCGTAGCGGTCGTTGAGTTAGGACGACTACACGAAAGCCTACCTGATACAGAGACAGGCGAGGGATTTAAGAAATCGGGTAGTACACATCTAGAAGATAATCAAGTGCATGAGCGTTGGTCTAGGGAACGTACCACCATGCAACATTGAACCGCATCACGAAACACTGAAAATGCCGAGTTTTGTAACAGCTCAGCTGCAAGCGGCTCAATTGTGAAAGTAATAAGGCGTTAGGCAGTGTATCAGTTTGCACAATGCTAGTTGCAGGAACGGAGTCACGATACCGTGCGGGTTGACCTTCTCTCCACGTAACTGAATTAAATGGAAAGCATAACCACTTGCCTCTTTGGAGAGGAGAAAAGTATTGTCATATTCAAGGCTGCGTCCTACCACAACAATCTTTGACATTCCAATCCCAAAACCACCCAGACCCTATTCAATCATTCCACACTGTCCACAGTGGATCACAGTCCACCTTCCACCAGACCCACCTTCCACCACGGCGTCCACATCCTGGGCCTCGGAGCTGCAGGCCACGATGACACAGCACTCGTCCATCTTCTTCTCGAAGCAGAGCGGGTCGTCTTTGAAGGCGCCCTGACGGAACATGGGTCTCTGGCAGCGCGGCACGCAGCGTACCTTGCCGCGTAGCTCACAGAAGCAGGTCTCCTCACACTCGCGGTAAAACTGACCTCCGACTGGGTAGGTGCTGTTGCCGTCGACACAGCCGTCTGTGCGTGAGAGAGAAGGGGAGGTGAAGGTGAGAATGGGAAGTGAGCGGTGCGGGAGACGGAAACAGATGGCGAATGATATAGACCTGTGGATGAGACAAAATAAGCTGTATATGATGTTGTCTTCAATGTGTTGAAAAATAATAAGATGCCTAGCCAATAGGTAGCCAGTCTGTGAGATAAATTTATGAGTCAGCTTCATCTTAACTTCATGCGCCCAGAATTTAGCAAGATTTATAAATAAGACAAACAATGGAAAATGTTGTCACAGCTGTTGCGATAAGCGCGCGGTGCAGCTCGCTCGTGAAGGTAAGACATGTCAGGTAAACAATGCCTGAACATGACAAAAACGAGGATCGAGAACAAGTCTGGACGAAAATCCGATTCGGTCATATCTGCAGATCAGTTCGCGTGGGAACTAATCCACGCCTGGCTTTGAAATCGGCCGCTAAAACCCAGCCTTCGGCAACATTTTGGTCACACGGAGATGACCCGATCGTGACCATTCTCCTGCACAAACTCACGAGCTGTGCAGACGGTTGCCCCCCCCCCCCCACGTACTCTCCCCTGCTCCCCCGTAAACTCACCATCTGTGACAAACCGGATGGTCTCTGTGGTATCCCCGAGCGTATCCTGATCACGGCTATCGTAGATCGCCACTCTGGCCTCGTACTCCGTGCGTGGCACCAGGTCACCAATCTTCATCAGCGGCACACTCTGACCCGGCTGTGGCGGCAGCTCCTGCCTGCGCCACTCTCCGCCGCTCGTGCGCCGGTACTGCGCCACGTAGCCGCGCGCGTACGCCGGCGGCTTGAAGTCGTCCCAGGCCAGTGTGGCCGAGTTGTAGGACTTGGTGGTGACGATCAGGGTCGGTTTGGGCTGCTGATCGGCGGCCGTGAGGGCGGCAGGAGCGCCCGGGTCGCTGCTCTCGACACCGACGGCCGACTCAGTGGTCGTTGTAGTCGTCGTTGTGGTGGTTGTCGTTGTAGTTGTAGGCTCCGGAGTTGTCACCTTTGAAGTGATGGACTCCAGTAGGTCGTCCACAATCCGACCTGGAAAGATGGACAGACGATCCGTCAATATTGGAATACGGTCGACATAAAAGGTCCCCTGCCGGTCTCATTGTGTGACAGGAAAACTGTGCGACTCGCGTGACCACCAAGTAAATCACTGGTTCATCGGGCGGCGCGATTAAAGTCATGATCCCGCACAAGGTCAACTGGTCACCCTTAGCTGATCAAACGAGGATCACCTGCTCCACCTGTGTTCTAGGTTTGGCCAAGCCTGTAGGTAAATGCGAAAAACAGCCATATCGGCACAAACAACAGAAGGGAATAGTTTCTATTCCGTTATCGGCTATATTAGTACGACAAAGTCACGCATTGCATGCTACATCAAAGATCAATGTCCTCAACTGTTGGCGCTTTAAATTATGATCCGCACTCCTCACTGAAACGCATAATCTCTGGAAAGCAATTAAACTATCACGGTGAAATTCATTACCGGGTCTTGTCTTCAGCACCCAACTTGACTCGTACCCTAGCAAAAAAAGCGTCTGCGGATAAAATCTTACCCCCATTCCCACCCGTTTTCCCTCGTCCCTCACCCACCTCCTGTGCTGGTGACGGCGCACACCAGCTGAACGCAGCACTCGGGGTCATCGAGGTCAGGTCGCTCGGAGCAGGAGAGGTCGGTGACGGTGCCACGGGTGAAGGAGCAGCGCGGCCGGCAGGACGGCTGGTTGGGACCACCGCAGACGCAGGTCGACTGGCAGCCCATGTGGTACGTCTCGCCGATGGCGTGAGAGCTGGTGTTGGTCACGCAGCCGGCTGCCGGCGGGGTCAGAGCGGTCAGTCAGAGCAGGTGAGATTGGGACGGGTCAGGTCCAGTGCTGGAAATGAGGCCGCTTTCTGGTCCCGGCGTTTTATTCTCCTCGCGGGTTAATCCCGTCCAGCGTTTAGCCTTTCGGGACCCACTCAGGGTCGCGGTTGTTTTCGCCGCTCGCCCTAGTCGAGATGCAAAGTTAATAGTCACACGAAGCTTATTTAGGGCCAGCCAAACCAGTCTAGTCTGGAGTTACTGTTAAATGTATGCATACAGATGAAAGTAAAAGGTTTTGTAGAATCGATTAATTTCGAAGTCGTATATTCAGAGGCCCCAAATAGACTTCGTGCGACTAACAACTTTGCATCTCGAATGGGCCGAGCGGCGAAAACAACCGCGGCTCTGAGAGGGTCCCGAAAGGCTAAGCGCTAGACGGGGCTAACTCACCCGGAGAATAAAACGCCGGGACCAGAAAGCGGCCTCATTTCCAGCACTGGTCAGGTCAGAACGGGTCAGGTCAGAAAGTGTCAGGTAAAATCAGAGGAAGTCAACATTCCAGCAGAGTGGGTAATCTGCACATTCGGAATATCGGAAATCGGAAACGTCGCACAATATAAATAACAGCTAAAACTTGGTGCACCAAAGTTTTAAAACGTACCACTAATCAAACCAAGCACCGAATCTATTAAAACATCGAACGAACATTTACATGAGACCTTCCCCATCATTCAACATATATATTATATCTCTAGCCCAACCTTACACGACAGCCCTGTCAAGTGTCAGGTCCCACCCGCACCCTCGCCCCAAGGCCCTAAAACAACCTCGCCCCATCCCAGCACTCACGTCTGGTGTTCACAGTAAGCGTCTTCGTCCCGGCGTCTCCCTGCCACCTGAAGGTATAACTGGTGCCCGGCTGTAACCTGCCCACAGTCACCACTCGTCGACTAGCCTCCAGCGGCACCTCCTGACTGGCCCGGCCGGCAGCTCGGTAACTGAGCTGACCTCCAGCCGCCGGCAGCTGCAGGGTGGTCGTGTTATGCGTGATGTCCAGAGGAAGCATGTCCAGCGTGGCGATGGGAGGAGCCGCTGTGGTGGTGGTGGTTGGTGGGGCGGTGGTGGTGGTGGTGGTGGGTGGCTCAGTGGTAGTGGTCGTGGTGGTAGAAGTGGTTGCTGTACTTGGTTCAGTGGTGGTGGTTGTAGTTGTGGTTGCCTCGGTCGTCGTGGTTGATTCTGAAAACAAAGGGGGGGGGAGTGAAGGTCAGTTTTGCGACACAAGGCAGTACACGAAAAGATTCTGGCTGATGAGTACAAATGCGACTTCTTACCAATCTGATGCTCAGTTTGATTGTGAAACAACTCCAATTATCCATATCAGCTTAAATAGAAAGGCAAGTATTTTTGGAGGTTTCGAGCCAACAAATGATAAATGTCGCGCGAATAGAAGTCCTTTTCACTACCAGTAAAACGCCTTTTGGGCGAAGAACGAGCGAGCGAGATAGTGAGCACTGCACGTGCAGAAGGGCGAGAGGGTACTTCCAACGGGCTTGTGCAAAGCACCCTTCTAACCGGTCGCTAGCGGTGTACCAAATTTGAACGCATTCGGCCCAGCCGTTCCTGAGATCTGGAAGCGGCATTCTCCACGTGCGCACGTGCAAACGGGGTCCAAAATGACTTTTGCACGGCACCCTACTAACCAGTCCCCAACCGTGTACCAAATTTGAGCGCAATCGGCCCAGCCGTTCTCGAGATCTGGAAACGCCCCCTGCACGTGCGCACGTGCAGTAGTACCCTAACCGCAACACATGGGAATGCATTGCCTGGTGGGTGCCTACCTGTATGCCAAGTTTCAGCGAAATCGCCCCAGAAATTACCGAGTTACTGAAATGGGAACAAATTTGGCACCTCTTATTGTTGTATTTTGCACGTGCAGTGGGGGTCACTCACATAGATGAAGAGTATCCGACCTTTGGTAGAAGGGATGCAGCTACCCTATAAAAGTGACCGCAAGACAACAGCTCAAGCCGCTGCTGAGATATGGGCCTCTCAAAATCATTACTTTTGCAAAACTGCTTGAACACCCTTGACTTTTCACGTGGCACGTGCCACGGCGGTCACTGAGATGTATCAAAAGTAGTCAATTACGGGGTAGAAGGGATGGGGCTACCCAGCAAAAAAGACCGCAGGCCATTCGGTCCAGCGGTTGCTGAGATATAAGCCTCTCAAAAGCGTTACAGGCCGGGCCGGGCCGGGCCGGGCTGGGCCGGGCCGGGCCGGGCCGCTCATACTGAGATTTTTCCGTTATATTGAAAAGACTTCGCTTCGCTCGCTGCGCTCGCTCGCTCGTAATAACGAAATATTTGGCTCAAAGCGAATACAACAGAATGTTGGTGGTTGGTTACGCATACACTGCACATAAATGACATGCTTGGTATTTGTTTTAAAACGTGCTATTAATTAATAAGCATTGGTATTGATTATTTGACATTCGTGCGATGATCGATATCCGATATCGATATTCGTGCGCTTGTAAATAACGTGTAAGAAGCACTTTGACGCATGAAATAATACATCACGTAGAAAGGTACCCTTGGTTATAATCACTTTAATCGATATGATTACAGACAATCTATTGATTCTCTGAAATGTTTCTTAGTAACTCAGTTACAACATGCATCGGCATTTACTGCGTATTTTCATAAATGGCATCGACCAGTGCTAAGTCTAAGTGCATATCACACTCAATCAGCTGTCCCATATCTGACTGCAACAGTGCAACAGCAACAGCTATTCGCTTATAACACTAGAAAGTGACGTTATAAAGGCACAGCACCACAGCACACACCACACCAGAAAATGGAGCAGCTTATCCCATTTCCAGTCTACTTATATCGTATACCGTGAACATCGTTCCTATGTCCCGAGAAAAAGAACAGGATGAAAGTAAGAGCAGTCCACAAATCCCCATATCAACCCAGTGCCAAGCCCGGAACGGATCATCCGCTTCAGCAGGACGTCCAGCCTTGGCATGCGGATGTTGGTCAGCTTGCCACCAGAGCCTGGCATTTAGCGCCACGTTAGGTGCTAGCGGGCGGACGTCATCCATCCTCGGAGCAAGTCAACATCGCCCCACGTCCGCATACCTGGCGCCGACTCTGATTTACGTGGGAGCTGAACACTCCAATTAGGAGCCGCACACATTGAAAGCTCGCCTCGGCGTGTTCTCACCGCGCCACGCTATTGTGGGAACTGATGACATTAAGTGTTGTTATCGCGACCGGCAGTGCGAAGCGCGCTATATTTCCGGTAACAGAGAACAGGACCTATGGATGAGTATTATCGGCCCCAGAACACGGCGCATACAAGAATTTAAGGGCGCAGGGCGCAGCTAATAATGATGGGTAAGGATGAGCGCAATAAAACGACGAGCAATAAAAGCGAGAGCGAGATGAGTACCTAGGCTATAGGAACACAAGCTGTGCATTGTGAGACGTTTCGTCTCATCGCTCATTCACAATCATCATGATTGATAAAAAAATCGTCGTATGGCACCTGTAAAACCAAAGGAAAGAAGCATAGGTAATTGTAGAGATGCCTCATGGGTAACGGCCCAATAAAGTAAACTCGCATAAATTTAACGGCCACTCTCGCATGACACAGCACGACAGCTGCCATTTTTGCTGACTATTTAAACGTTTTTAAATACATCGGAAAACATAATCGTATTAAATGTGAGTAAAACGTGTAGGCGTGACTCTTAAGTATTTTTTGATACGGTTAGCGATAAAAGCGGCGTGCCAATTAAATTCTTCGCATGCTGTTCTTTCTAGCCCCATGAACGAAAAAATGTTAATCAATATTATCATGCTAACAATATGCAACTATTGTGGATGGGGAAATCCGACAAATGATTAAATTTCATTCATTTCAAGCCGGGCCAAGCTTTGAAGAGCCGAACGCGATTTTTGTTATCGTTTTTAGCCGCCGTTTAATCAGCCATGCGGCAAGCGTCCGAGACGTCATTCCTCTTGGAAGCGGAGCAAAGCTGTTAGTTGAGTGCCCTGAGGCCAGTATGGGTACCTCCTGGAGTGACCGCACAGCCGAATACGAGGTCATTGGGGTCACCAGAGCGGCCGGGACGGCAGGCGCAGAGGCCTCGGTCACAGGCCGCACCCGGGCCGCACAGCACAGAAGAGCACACCCCTGTCGGGCCAGAGAAGGTGCTGGGTGAGCTGGGAAAGACGGTGAGCTGGGTGAGCTAAGAATATTCAGAGACTCGGTGATCCAGGAATTAAACCAGAGATGGCCAAGGGTAAGCAAGGCCAGGAATGTTCAGGAACTTGGTAAGCCATAAAGGGATGGGCAGATATTGACTGGGTAAGCCCGGCCGTATGATTATCGAGGTGGGGATTCGACTGCGGAATGGAGTGTCACGTCGGCAGTGACGTATATATACGCCAGGTCCCCCAGCAGCCATATCATCAGAGGTCCTCCCGAGATGTCGATGGAAGGTCAGCCAGGGGAGCCGGCTCCACACGAGTGTGGTTTAACCGGAACACACTCCACTTCTAGTAAGTTGGCGCACGGTAGCACGATTCCAGACGGTAGCAATGTTAGTGGAGTAGATAATACTACCGGCAATATGCGTCCTTTGGCAGTTAATGATACGGTATCAATTTCCACCTACAACTGCGAGGGTTTGATGACTGCCCTGCCCTATGTTTGTAAGCTCATTGAAGCACATGACGTAGTATTTCTTGCAGAAACGTGGATGTCCCGCTCCGAGGAGTGCTATCTTCCTGTTTATGTCAATACCTGCTGCTCATATGCTTGTATAGTGATGCAAAAGTTCGCCATGGATCTTCCTCCTGGTGCGGGCGCCGGACGCCGTCATGGCGGCGTTGCTATGATTTGCCGCAATCGCCCTGGGGTACGCTATGACGAGATAGACTGTGGAGATGAGCGCCTCTGTGGTGTTAAAATCAGTGATACGCTAGGACCGAGGTTGACAGTATTCGGCTGTTACATGCCCTATTGGGATTCTTCCCGGAAGAATCTAGATGAATTTTCTCATCTTGTCAGTAAGCTTGATGCTCTTATCACTGCACTTGGCTCCTGTTCTCCTGTTGCTCTTGTGGGTGATTTTAACTGTGCCTTGCCGAGACTGGCTGCTAATGCGCGTCCCACCCGCTGGTATGAGTTCCGTGGGTTCTCGTTGTATAGCAGCATTCTGCAAGAGCTTCTTGATAAGCATGATTTCTCCGTAGCTGAATTTCAATTTACACAATCTGTCTCCTTCTCATACCAGCGTGGTAGCTCTCGTACTCACATTGACCATATCATTGTGCCAAAAAATGTTCTTCGGTCAGTGATATCATGTGACATTGTGCCGCCTTCAGAGGAGAACCTAAGCCCTCATCTGCCTCTTAGCTGCTATATGCGACTTGCCCTACGTGGTGAGAAACCCTCATCACCATCAAGCAAAAGTATTCCAGTTAAAAATGGATGTCCTGATGTTCTAAATTGGGATTGCAATAGCCGCAATGAAATGTATAAGTCGGCACTTGAGACACACTTGTCGGCATACCTTGCTAGTAACGTGCAGATGACACCGGAGCTCACCGATGTGAACGAGTTGGATATGCACATCACTAATGCTATCCATGCTGCGGCCCGGGCGTCGGGCTGTGCTAAACTAAGGCGTTCTCCTAAAAGCTGGTGGACTCCAAGGGTCTCCAGCGCTCGTGATAAGGCTCGCTTCTGGTTCAGATTATGGACAGATTGTGGCCGCCCTGTGAACAGCGTTGTTTACGCGTGTTATTGTGAGGCTCGCCGTGCATACCGCCGCGCCCGTAAAACTGCTTCACGGGGCAGGATAGATGAGGAAGCGCGCCTTCTTCACAGTCTTCGGCGTGATCGTAATGTTAGTGCATTCTGGCGTCGTGTTAACGCTGCGAGAAGAGGTGGGCAGCATGGATGCAGTAATCTTACTGTGGACGACTTCGCCAACCACTTTGGATCGATCAGCCAGGATGACGATTCACAGTTGAGCCCTGGTCAACAGCTGATATGTGACGCTGTTGCCACTCGCTTCTCCACTGGTTGTGACTCTGCCGAGATCCGTATTGTTACCCCAGATGAGGTATGTGAACTGATCCAGCAGTTAAAGCGAGGTGCTGCTCCGGGGATAGACCACGTAACAGTAGAGCATCTGTTGTATGGTAGATCACAAGCTTTGTTGGTTGCGATTGGCCGTCTCCTCACTGCATGTTACGCCACTTTATCGGTCCCTGACGCCTTTTCTGTTAGTGTTGTGAGACCCATCCTAAAGAAGTCAGGTTTGAATCGAGATTGCTTGGACAATTACAGGCCGATATCTCTCACTACTACTATGTCGAAGTTACTAGAGTGTCTTTTGCTAAGTGAGCTGACCGAATCTTTCTCTCCCAGTGATCTACAATTTGGGTTTTTGGAGAACCGTAGTACTATCGAGGCAACGATGCTTGTTACTGAAACCGCGCAGTGGCACAGTCAGAGAGGTTCTCCAGTGTTTGCAGCCAATTTAGATGCGAGGAAATGTTTCGATAAAATTTGGCATGATGGTCTACTTTTTCGCCTAGAGAAGTTCCTGAGCCCCCGGTCCTGGCATTTGGTCACAGTGTGGTATAGACGTCTAAAAGCTTTCGTAACTTATGCTGACCATATGTCGAGTTGTTTTGACATCAAGCGAGGAACGAGACAGGGGGCCATTTTATCGCCAGCGTTTGCAAATGTTTTCTTTCAGCCTCTCTTAAGTCTACTTGATGTTAGCTTGTGCGGATCCTTCATGTTTGGCTACCATGTTCCTGCCGTGTGCTACGCAGATGATTTGATGCTGCTCTCTACCAATGCGGGAAACCTAAGTAAACTTTTGGAAATAGTTGATCAATTCGCAGGGTTTTGGAGGCTTGAATTCGTTCATGTAGATCCGATAAAAACCAAAAGTCACTGCATTGTATTTGGTGCTGAACTTTTGTCTGCGCTCCCCGTCTGGCACCTATCTGGTCAGCAGCTTGCTGTACGAGCAGTGACCGAACATCTAGGTGTCACATTGTCAGCGGATCTAGCCGGGTCACTTCATGTACAGCACCGTGTTAGTCGGGCTCGTGGAGCATTCTACGGACTGACTCCTGCTGGAATGCTCAGTGACTGCCTGTCGCCTTCAGATAAAGTCTTTCTTTGGAAAACTGTGGTCATCCCTGCCCTAACTTTCGGATGTCAAACAGTCCCCCTTCGCTCGTGTGATGTTGACGATCTGGATGGCCTGCAATCTCGGTGCATAAAAGCTGCCCTCGGATTATCTAAATACGCTCATCATTCTGCTTTGCTTGTAGCTTTAGGTATCCCGAGAATACATGAACGGCTCAGACGAGCGGTGCTGCTAGCCTTATCGGGTATATTCCGAAGCCACCAACACCGACTGAAACACATTATGCTACGAGAGCTGGCTGTTTTAGCTACCGAGCCTAGACAATTGCACGGAACATTTCTGGACCTGGCATACAAACTGTTAAACTGTTCTTTTCAAAACGTGCTCGATGCTGTGAGGGGTCATGTGGACCATAGCTTCATAGGCAGCGCGATCGACAGCGACGGTGTAGTAGATTCGCTCAGATTCCTTTTAAATTCCAGCCAGACAGTGATGTCCCGTCGTCTCGTGAGGCTTCTGTGCTCATAGGGTTTTTTTTCACAAATGTGTTGACTTGTTAATGTGCTTTGCAATTGCGTTTTAGTGTTGTGTTCATCGTCCTACATGCAGTATCTGTACTGCTGGTGTGTTTATTGGAAAGTGAAATGTGTATGTGTATTGTCTGAAAAAGACGCATAATAAATTGATGATGATGATAGGACAGGCAAAGTGAAGTGGGACAGCACCTGCTACAGCGGGACGACACTTGAAGATGAAAAGTGCCTATAGAGAAACAGTAGAAGACCATAGATTGGACAATGCGAAGAGCATGCTATTCAAACAGCGAAGAGCAGAAATTGAAGAAGCGTGACAATACTGCAAACTGCACAGTGTACAGAGCGATCAGCCATAGATGTAGGTAGAGATGACTCAGCTTATTGCACATATGGACGGGTTATGTAACATTGCAAACATTAGTGGCATGTCGCCAACTGTGTAATAATCACTGTTGGTTCCATCACTTAGGTCTTTTCTTTGAATAATATTATAAAACATTGCACGTCAGCGTGAAATATCACTCCCTGGTAGTAGCATCTGTTGTGAAGCGATGTAGCAGCTTGAATTGTGTGCACAGCTGCACGATACTACATGATAGGTCGCCAGTAGACGCGCTCCCGTCCCTCACCATTCCCCGCCCTCTCCCGCGGCCCGACAGAGACACCCATCGTCTCTGGCCGACTGCACTGGTTACATACGCTAATGGCACTGTCTGAGCCCGTGACCTGACCTCAACACGACTCCACCACGGCCCCAGGCGTCAGACTCACACAGCACCTCAACAGCATGAGAGCTGTGACGGTGTTTACGGGCTGAATTCGTGCGAGGCATTGTGACCCGCTGTAAACAGCTGTGAGGCACGGTGCTGTCACTCCGGTGCCGTCCAGGTGACCTGCCGTCTGTCAGCCCTCACGTCAGGAGGGACGACCTTGGCGCGGTGCCGGCAGCTCGTGCCGTGAGCGGTCGGGCCGGCCGCGCGGCGCCGGCCTACGTCAGCGCGGCGCCGCCGCTGCATGCTGATGAGAAGCCCCGGCGGCGAGCCCAGCACTGGCGAGCGGCCGGCACTGGCCAACCCGGCAGCGGAGGCCGGGCCGGGCGGCCGACCACTGCACGGCGTGGCCGGTCGGCGGCACTGCCCGGCCCCGGTACTGGCGAGCGGCCGAGAGCGACCAGGCATGGCGCCAAACTCTGGGTAAAGAGGCACGAAATTCCGACACCAAGGCGGGACTGGAGGACGAGTAACGTGGGGCGACTGGGGATAAAGGCAGCGAGGACCGGTAGCCGTAAGCACAGAACCACGAACTACTCCGATTGAGGATGAGGAACACCACTTCCTTGTCTAAAATTTAACGATATTCGTCGTTGGACCAGGAAATGATTCAACACGGTGATTTCAACAAGGGCAAAAAATAAAGCAATTGTTTTTTGAACAGCCAACAAGAGAATGAGAACCGCAGTCGTGCAGGGGAACCATTTATGGAAGACCAGGAAGCCCGTCACGGAATCAGGAATCGTTCATGCTTTGGAGGGTCAGGGACGTCAGTTGTCTGATCAGCTCAGCAGTGGCCTGACCAGCAGCTTTAGGGGCTGGCTGACCAAAAACAGGCAGCTATTAAACCCGCTCGCGGTAGCCGCCTCACCGGCAGCTGTGCCAAAGCTGTCGATCAAACCGTGGCCACGGGTCGCCCTTCGCTGCCTATGGATCTACCGAGCACACGCTGTTGTCTGGCCAGCCTTCAGCAGTCATAATTCGGGATTTGTTTGAATAGCAGCCAGCAGCTATACCAGCCATCGGTCGGCCGACACCACCCAGGTCCGGTCACGGGACTCGGAGCTCTGAGTAGAGCCCGCTCTGAGCAGTCCGGCGCGACCTTGACGTTAGCGCAGCGTAGCGTCGCCCGGGGCAAGGTTCGGCGCGAGCCGGCCCACCAGGTGCAGCAGCGGCCAGCGGACTCGACCAGCACAGCCAGGAAGGGTTGTGGGCGCCGGACAGGATGGGATGGGAAGAGAAGTGGACGGGATGGGGATGGGAACGGTTGAAACAATCGTATGGTCAATACCACATATTTTTACCAAACCTCAGCCACTAAATAAAAGGCATGACTGCGATTCGTGATAATAGATATTATCAGAAACAACTGCCATCGAATGGGTAGGAACAGGCTGTGAATAGCGCTTTTAAAAGTGTACAACAGAAGAAGACTTCTAATTTTCATCAAATGTTTCAAGATCGTGCTAAATTATGTAAGAAAAGTAAGGTGTATGTATCAGGGCTGCGGAGTCGGAGTCGGAGTCGGAGTCGGAGTCGGTCGGAGTCGACAGTTGTGACCGGAGTCGGAGTCGGAGTCGGAGTCGATTTTAGAAACCCAAGCCGGAGTCGGAGTCGGAGTCACCGAAAATCTGTCGACTCCGCAGCCCTGTTAGGCCTGCGGAGTCGGAGTCGGGAGTTGGAGTCGGTCGGAGTCGACAATTCTGCCCGGAGTCGGAGTCGGAGTCGCCGAAAATCCATCGACTCCGCAGCCCTGGTATGTATTTTCGCAGACCCGTCCGTTTCAGGGAGCTTTCTACGCCCAAGGGATGACGTAACAAAAATATTGCTTGGCCTCCTCTCTACTGACATCTGCAGTAGGTCTTTTATGTTCGGAAAAGAGCACTGAAAGCGCCCATCCCCGCATTTTAGCGCTAAGCGGCCTTTATTTGACCGACACTTAAATGCTAAGCACACGATATAAATAACACCAGTGAATGATTTTCTCTCTTCATATGAGTACATACTGAGTACATACATCCAATCGTTGTAACAACGATTGATAACTCACCGGTAGTCGAACTGCTCTCCTCCTCCGCGGTCGACGCGTCGGTGGCGACGCCGTCGGCACTGGGGCTCTCCAGTCCCGAGCAGACGACGTTGACGCAGCAGCCGCCGGCGATGGCCGAGCCTCGCAGCTCGGTACACTCGGGATCATTCCGGAACGTTCCCGTCCGGTAGTAGCCTGCGGCGATCACGAGGGTTAGCGGGTAACGGGGCTGGTATCGGTACCGCCGCCGGGAGATACAGAGGAGACAGTGCGACGGATAATGAGCGGTATTTTGGGGCGAAAATTGTGGGTGACCGCGACTGAGAACAGTCATAAAACAGCTACCGTCTACAGATGGAGACCCGAATGTCGGTCAGAGACTGAGGTCAATGCGACCGGCAGGTGGCTGAAACAAGACACAAACTCGCGGAGACCGCATCTCGACACAAGACAATAGCACCGCAGCCACACGGGAGGGTTTCTGTCGCTTCCTATGACCTGATTCAGTCAGAGATTACGGGAGGTCGAGACATGACCGAGTGAACTGGAAGCAAACTAAAGAAGGAAGCACTTCCAGGAGAAAAGCACGCATGAAATACGGGGACTGGGATAAGTAAAGCATCTTTGAAATTTGGTAATTATGGGTATCACGGAAGCACAGCCCGCGCGTTTTGTGCACCTTTGGGACATGTTGGTGGTAGGCAGGAGCACTTTATATCAGTTTATTGGACCTTAAGGCCGCTGTACCGACTGACAGGGTCATTGTTCACGGTCAGTTCTCGTTACTCACCTGGCGGACAGGCGGTTGGCGTGCAGTTGAACTTGCCGCCGGGGCTACAAACGCACGTCTCCTGGCAATCCTTACGGAACACCCGCTCACCGACGTCCACAATGGCGCCGCCCTCATCCTCGCAGCCCACTGGAATGACAAGAGACACAGTCAGACGAGATGAAACTGAGCGAGGATCGACGAGATGGTACCGAAAAGACATCAAACGGGCACAAATTGCACCGATCACCTAATATTGGATGGATAGTTTTCTCGAAGTCCGTTGGTTTCCCAGTTCCCACACATAATCAATGATCCACTGAAGCACAATATGGATCTAAGAATGGGTGTGAAATGCATGGATCCCCAGTTTCCGGCATGGTGGATGCCGGAAACTGGAGAGTGGAGAGTACAATGCGGCAGGTGTGGAATACCTTACGGAGACTGCAGTTTAGGACAGGAGACTATCACCAACCCGAGTCTGCGGGGATGGCGGTGGGTTTTGCCAGGTATCTGACTCTCTCAGCAATAAAAGATACCACATTCTAAAGAAAAGTCTGCTGGCATTTCTTGATGCTTGCTGATTTCATTACCTGACCGCAATACGTGCTGCTTTTTACTATCATCGGAGACGTTAAAACATATTACATTTTATGTAGGATAATATCTTGCCGGATTTTTTTCGTCACATAAGAACAAAGGGATAAGGAACTGGATGTATTCTTACTTTCCATAGCAATAAAGAGCAAATTTAATCAGCACATTTAGCATTAACATATCGTTGAGTGTTACATGTAACTGTAACGCAGATGCGTTACATTTTTTTCATCTTTCATGCTGAACTGCAAGCTGTGCCACAAGCTGAAACACGGCCATCTGCGAGCGCCGCACAGACACGGTCAGCCGGCTAAATCGGCTGTGATACCCTCTCTCCGTCCCAGCTGGCGTCCACACAGACGGCGCAGTAGGCTCTGACAAACAGGGGTCCTCTATAGATGACCACCCCACTTCATGAGAACCCGGATCTGAAGCCAACAAATAGCATACCGAAACGCGCCATTCTGCCAGCCTCGAGCCATTAATCAGTTTAGCTTTTGGAAAACAAGACTCTGTCCCACGCTCGGCACCCCGCCAGAGAACAAGGAGAGGGGAGTGCAGACCGGCCCTGATTTGAACCAAAACAAGAAAGGGGAGCGGAGACCGACCCGGGTTGTACGAAAACAGGATGAAATGGAACTCGGTCGCCAACGACAAAATATAGGACATCTGGCCGGACCTGACTTCAAAACAAGGGGAGCAGAGGGCCAGGCCCGCCACCTGGCGCCTCAGGCGCCGTGAGCGCCGGCGGCGAATTCCACCCGGTCGCTGCGTGAAAGGGTGCGACTGCCATGGCCGGAGGGGAACCGAACTTTGTCAGCAAATCACGAACTTTCGAGGGCGGAGCCGAGTGCAGCTTCTGAGAATGGAGGACGGAGATTGGACAAGGTGATGCTGCCCGGCCCTCTGAAGTATGACGTCATCAGAAGTATAAGTTGATGAAACGGAACTGAAAAGCTCTCTCGGACGACGCATTCCGCGCTCTCTGGCTCTCTCTCGGACGACGGATCCCACGCCGCTCTTCGCTCTCGGCTCACATCTGACACCGTGGACAGCCCACGAGAGACCAGCGGCAGGCATCACGGCGCCGGCGGCGGCTCCGGCCGCCTGGCCGGGCGCTGGACGGTCACGACCATCATGTCAGCGACTCCATCTCAAGTAAGGTCACGCGGTGAACACGGGTGCGCACCTAGTCCCTAAATCCTCCAAGTAACCCCCCCCCCCCTTTCGTTACTGCTATGTGAGCCACATTATATTCCCCTTTTAGGTGTCGTCCGCAATATTTTAGGCCATTCAGCTTAGGTATTTAAATTTATTCTTGGGACTTTCAGTCTAGGTAGCTTAATTTCACAATTCGATTTCGATCAATTATGTAACTGTGCGCGTAGTGCGACACGCGTGCCGACGTGGGCCCTCTTCAGTCGTCTGGCGCCCCGTTGTGATTTAAGCGGACGGAGGGGATTATGCACCATGGGGAGTCGGGAAAGGGACGGGCGACTGTGTACCGCACCGCGCGGCTTGTGGGGCTCAGTTGATGGGCGGCCTGGGCCCAGAATGTTTCCTTTAAATTTGACTTGTAAGGGAATTTAAGGTGTTGCGTCGGAGTATGTAAATAAATGGGACTTGTAAATATTGAAATACGAGTGTGAGTAGTGCTGAAGGGGCAGGGATCGGAGGATGGAGCATAAAAGGCCATATGCTAACCCACAGTCAGGAAAGAGGTCGTTTCCAAGGTGTCCGGCCAGAGTAATTTACAACGATCAGTTCTCTTTATCTGTTGAGTTTACACAGTGCACAAAGCGATTATACACAACACATGCAGGGCCTCCCTAGCCTAGCCGATACTGGAGCTTCTCCGGTTGACTCCTAAGTGCCCTTGCCAGTGGATTTCCTGGCACTCCATCCTCCCCAAATTATCCCACGGTCCAAACAATAGCGATTACACACAACACCCACAGGACCTCCCTAGCCTAGCCGATACTGGAGCTTCTCCGGTTGACTCCTAAGTGCCCTTGCCAGTGGATTTCCTGGCACTCCATCCTCCCCAAATTATCCCACGGTCCAACAATAGCGATTATACACAACACACACAGGACCTCCCTAGCCTAGCCGATACTGGAGCTTCTCCGGTTGACTCCTAAGTGCCCTTGCCAGTGGATTTCCTGGCACTCCATCCTCCCCAAATTATCCCACGGTCCAAACAATAGCGATTACACACAATTCACACAGGACCTCCCTAGCCTAACCGATACTGGAGCTTCTCCGGTTGACTCCTAAGTGCCCTTGCCAGTGGATTTCCTGGCACTCCATCCTCCCCAAATTATCCCACGGTCCAAACAATAGCGATTACACACAACACATACAGGACCTCCCTAGCCTAACCGATACTGGAGCTTCTCCGGTTGACTCCTAAGTGCCCTTGCCAGTGGATTTCCTGGCACTCCATCCTCCCCAAATTATCCCACGGTCCAAATGATAGCGATTATACACAACACATACGGGACCTCCCTAGCCCAACCGATACTGGAGCTTCTCCGGTTGACTCCCAAGTGCCCTCGCCAGCGGATTTCCTGGCGCTCTACCCTATCCAGCGGTCCGAATATAAGGAGCACACATAGACCTTGCCGCACACGAAATATTTGTAACTTTACCCCACATGGACACTGGGGACACTGCAAGGGACGGAACCGGGGAGATAGATGATGCACGTCACGCCCCTGTGCGTGGAAAGTCCACCGACGCGGCCATGGGTTAGGAGGGAGATGAGAAGCGAGTGAAATGGAATTGAAGACTGTACACGTAGAGGAATCGGATTTCCTGAATGAAGCTCAGCTCGGATAGACCCCACTTAAATAGTAGGCCTCGCTTGGGTAAGCCCTGGATACGTGCAATAAGTCGCGAAGTGAAGAGAAAGGGTGAGAGCGAGTTGAGGATCGATTATTGAGGATGAGTGCATAGCCGACGAAGGCTAATCCGTTCGGTTGCCGGCGCGGGCCCCATAAAGCCGTGGCTATACGGAGACGATGCAGGCAGCCCGGAGGGACCTAGTGACCCCGCCCGGTTTTAAAAGATAGGTTAGGTCCGCTATCGGTCCATTGAGTGATCAGCGCAGGATGACATTCGATAAGCGACGTAGGTAGTTTCGGAGATGGTTAGGACCCCAGGCGTCCCAGCGAGGAGACGTATGCCGCCGGTTAAGTAATGTCCCGCGAAGAAACGTGTGATGCTGCAGGACGGGGGTGAACATTAAATACCAAAGCATGCGAGTCGGGTGATCGCGGTAAGTCGGTACTGGCCACCCCGCTGTTAGTCGATTTACTCCGGCCGTGCAGCGGTCATTTCGGATAGGTCTGTGACGACAGCTTAACTACCAGCAACGGATAGATAGGGCTTCGGGCACCTATAACGCTGGTAGTCGTGGATTGTGTGAAGCCAACGGAGGCTAACCCGTTCGGTCGCCGGTGCTGTTTCAAAAGCCGTGGCTATACGGAGACGATGCAGGCAGCCCGGACGGACCTAGTTACCCAGCCCGGTTTCAAATTTTAGATAAGCCCATTGCGGGCCGTGGTACGCTTAGTTTTCGTTTTATTATAGGCAATTTGGCATAAACTGGTAGTCATGGATTCGTGTAAAGCCGACGAACGACTAGTTCGACCTTTCGGTCGCCGGGGGCTGGCCCGAAAACCGCGGCTATACGGAGACGACGCAGGCAGCCCGGACGGACCTTAGTTACCCAGCCCCGGTCTCAAATTTCAAATAAGTCCCCCGCGGAAACCGGACTACACAGTGCCCTGCGAGCCGTAGTCTCGGAACCGCTGGCCGAAGACATTTATGTTTTTTTTTGTGTAGGTAGTTCGACATGGTGATGGGACGGACCGCAATAAGTCACGTAACGCGAAGGTCGAGTGCCGAAATATGTGGTGGGTCGTATCTCTAATTGTGTAGCGTGAGCATTATGAAGCGTTTGTCTGATGTACGGAACATTGTGGTTATGAAGGGATAACGGTTAAATGACATTTAAGGCCAATGACTCGATAACGACTTTGCGCGCGCCCTAGCACCACCGGGGGAAGTCAGGAAAAAGGGGAGGGACCGGAGATGGTCAACTCTGGTAAATTACGAGGTATAAGTGGACGAATGACATGGTTGTAAGGGGATGGATAAATGGACGAATGATTGATACATATATCTGGTGGGAGATGACCCTCAAGCTAGGAAGGGCGCTGTTGTTTGAGAGTGGGACTTTTTGTTAAATAGAGTTGATTTTCTATACCAATATGATCGAGGGTAATTGATTAACATTTATCATTATCTCCCATTCCCTAACCCTGGCCTATGTGTTTCCGATGATTGATCGCCCCGAGGTAGAGTCTGAGTCGGAACGGGTTCGCGAGGGGCTGGACACAGAGGAGGGCTTCTAGGAGCGCGCCGACGGAGCTCTCAATAACGAAAGACACTGTCCGGTTAGCTTGCTCTCCAACACTATCGAAAGACACTGCCCGGTTAGCCCCGCAACGTCGCGAAACCCCGCTACAGATTTGGCGCACCCAACG